TGTGTGTGTGTGTTTGTGTGGGCAGGGGGTTTGGAAGAGGTTTACTGATATGAATACAAATTAGCAATAACCAGACATAATAATCATTTCAACATCTGGGCAATTTCAGCGCAAATCAGCGGGTGAAGATGTGCAGCTTGTGTGAATGCGCTCGTCTCTTTCAGCAAGCGTCTTTCCCTCTATGCCAAGACCCACCACAACAGCATGAAGCCAATATTCCCCTTTCCATCTGCTTATTTTTTTAAGTGTTTACTCTGCATAGAAAACAAGCAGCAGTATACAGCTTCCTGTCCTCACCCTATCTAAACTGGACAAAAAAACAACAACTTTCTCTTCTGTTCTCACTCCCACTCTCTGCTGTTTCACAGCAGAGGAAGCTGCTGCTGCTGCTGCTGCTGCTAGAGGGTCAGAGCTGAGCAGCAGTTTGAGAAAAAATAAAAGATTAGACTGACAAGAGCCTGTGGGGACTTTCTGACTCCCAAACCATCTCTTCAGTTCCTGGGAGCTGGCTAGCCAGTCCCAGGAAAATCCCTGCTATTCCTTCTCTGTGGACAAAACAGCTGCACATTCTCACTTTTCCCTTGTTGTGGTCGTTTGAACTCAACCCCGACAAAGGAAAAAAAGAATAATATTTTATTTATAATATTTATACATGCAGGATTGCAGAAGTGTGATTCTAGTATTAAAAATTGTCATTTTATCAATCTATCTTCTGTGATATAATTTATGTTACACTTTAACACTTTTTATTTTTATTTTTTATTTTTTAACAAATTTTACCTAGTAAATGCTGTTTTTTTGGTCATCTTTTATTGTCAGGCTGAAAAATACTGGATCACACTTCTTTCCTCACAGCTGGCCTTCAACTGGAATAATCCGTTTTGTAAACGTTTTTCCCTGAATATGTCAATATCAGGGGCTGTGTGTACGCCTGTGCCTGTGTGCATAATTACAGATGCGCCATTCCTCCTAAGCTGTCATTAGAAAAGGGAATGGGAATGACTCCAGGCTACAACCACCCCTTGTGGTTAGGTAACATGCTCTTCTCGGATACTGTCTTAACCCGGAGACAGCTGAAAACTCCCAGGTCCTGCGCAGCCTATTGTCTGAGGACATGTTGCTCCTCACAGCGCAGGACGTGTTTGTTTTGTTCTCAAGTCGCCTTTCCCCTTTAATTTCGTAAAAAAAACGACTCTGTTTTTAAGGCTTTGTCTGTCTGGTTGCCACTGTCTGACGGTGGCGGTGCGCGCATCTGCTGCAGTTCTCTGGGTGTCCGTGTGAGGGCGCAATAATCCATAGTTCGTCTTTCATCCAGGGATGCTGGTGGCCCTCAAAGGAGACAAAAGAGAAAATGATATGAGTTCTACAGGAGAGCAAGAGAATGGCAGTAGGATTTGATGTGTAGAAACACATTTCCACACACCATTTGAAATGAATGATACACCAGTGTGTGTCCATAAGAAGTGAGGATTATGAATTTCATATATAGAAATCATTATTTGACTACAATAATTTGCAACATTTTGACGAATTAAGCACAGTTTCTACCTATTAACTTAAAAAAAATACTTAAAAGCAGCAGAAATAGTTTTATTACTGTACAATAAATACATGTATAAATGTGTCTGTTTTTGTGTGTGGTTTAGAAAACACACTGCCCTTCGCTGACTCCTGGGTCAGAAGTAGCATACAGGCTGCTGCTATGCCCTTGAGCAATCGGAGCAAGACATCAAATCACTTACAGCCCCTGGGTTACTTCAACTGCTTCATAGCTGATCCTGGGTTTGACATCCCAGTGGAGAGATGGAAAGACAGAGAAAAGACAGTTTGCCCGAGGCTGTCAATAATATATATTTTCTCCCTTCTTTCCTTTCCTCGCTTTTTCTTTCTTGCTGCAATGTTTAGGCTATTTTCTCGATTCACCTTGACGAAACCTCCCAGCCAGCCTGTCTCCCACGCCGCAACACACCAAAAAACCCAGACTCCTCCCTCCTAGGCGGGAGGGAGGAGTCTGGTTTTCTCCGGCAGAACTGAGTGTATAATACTCTGCAGCCAGCCACAATGTGTGTCAGAGGACTGTTTTTGCTCCCAAAGTAGATGAATGCTCTAAATCTGGTGTCTGTATTGCTGACTGCGAGATACGAGTAAAATTGGTTCGCACTTTATCATCCCGAGCCAGGACAAGGTGAGCATCTTCTCACTTCAGCGGTTAAACACAGAAACGTGTTATTATTTTCTCATATTTATCTCACAAAACATAGTCTCTGCTAGATTTAATTGTTGTCATTCCATGTGTTTTCTATAAACATGCTTTTTTTTTTGTTGTGTCCCAGTCACATTTTTCTGGTGTGTTTACTGAGTGGTGAGCCAATGCGTCGTTTTGCACGGTTTGTGCGTCACGGTCACATTTACGCACATTCTCCTGTGAGATTTGTGCGGTTTTTAAACCCCACAGAGGAGTGAGTGTGGAATTTAGTGGAACAGACTGTGTGTCTGTGTGTGGGCTTTGACTCATGCTCGTTCTACAGTGTAGTTTTCAGGTGTGATCGAGGAGACAGAGAATGGGGAGAGACGCTCTTTCCTTTTTGGAAACTAAAAGTATCTTTTGTTCCTTTACAGGTTTTTCGATTGTGGGATAGAATGCCGGCGATCGCAAGTAAAAACTCGGATTTGGAGTTTGACTCCTTACAACCATGTTTCTACCCGGATGAGGACGACTTCTACTTCTGTGGTCCCGACTCTGCGCCACCGGGGGAGGACATCTGGAAGAAATTCGAGTTGTTGCCCACTCCGCCCCTCTCCCCGAGCCGAGCAGCGCTACCGGGGGAGCCGGCGACTGCCTCTCCGGAGGCAGACCCTCTGGGCTTCGGCTTAGGGGACCCACTGGACTGGGCTTCGGAGCTGCTGCTCTTGCCCGAGGACGATATCTGGGGGGCGTCCGACGATGGGGATCTGTTCGGCTCTGCTTTGGATACTAACCCCAATAGCATCATTATCCAGGACTGTATGTGGAGTGGCTTCTCCGCCAGGGAAAAGCTGGAGCGGGTGGTCACGGAGAAACTCGGCAAGGCTATTTCCACTGCCACAGGAGGAGACAGGAACATGTGCGTCAAGGCGCCGGAGGTGGTGAGCCGCAGCTCGGTGTCAGAGTGTGTGGACCCCACGGTAGTCTTCCCTTTCCCGGTCCACAAGAAGAACGGCAACAGGGACTCAACCGGGACAGTTAACACATCCACAACCCACGCGAGTGCTCACAGTGACTCCGGTAAGAATTTGAAGATGCGTTAAAAGCCTTGTTTCCGTATTTTAAGACATTCTAGTGCCAAGAACATCCAGCACTGAAAAAATAACCACCATTAGCGTTTATTATTATTATTATTATTATTATTATTATTATATATTTTTTTTATCATTATTATGTT